AGACCTGAATAATTATGCTAAGGACTGCAACATGTCGCTGTGTATGCTCTTTGTGGTTTGATCTTGTCATTTTTGCTGTAAAAATGTGCTTCTCCCTAACTTTCGCTAAGAACGTTTTGTTTTAATCACCTGGGGTAATCTACTGTTTTTTTTTTAAACTCACTTGATGAGCTCCTTCTACATATGTATTTATTTGTTTTCCATAATTGAAAAAATGTCTCTACGGGTCAGACGTGCATTAGAACAATCAAGTTTTTTACGGCACCTGCATTGCTGTTTTGCCCCATGGCTACACTATGCTGATCGTTAAAGCCAGTGACTAAACATGTTAAAGAGGTTGCTGAGGCCTCCGGTCAAAGAAAATGGGGATGAATCACATACCGACTCTTTAAATGGGGAATCCACAATATGATTCACAGATCAAACTGAATGCTCCCTTGTGCTTTCTCAGCCACTTTTTGTGTCTTGTTCTTTTTTGCACTCTCTTTTTTAGAGTTGTTTTAAAAAGTACGATTTGCAGTGTAGTTTTCTGTATACCGCTGCCAAGGTCAAACTAGGTTGAGGGGAACACAAATGAAAAAGTGAACAAAGAGATCACCGTCTCGTCATTGCCCATGTCCTAAACACGCACTAGATTTCACATTTCACGCTCTGTAGTTTTGAAGTTACAGATCAGATCATTTAAACATCTGACATGTTTTTTTTCCCCCTAAATGGAAACGGGTATTTGCTATCAGTTGCTCTGGCTGATGAGGTCAGTCTTACCTAGTATAATACTTTCCATCATAACACAACACATTTGCTGCTTTCAAAATAGAAAAGTATATATATATATATATATATATAATCATCAGGATCTCGCCTACAGTGGAATCATGTTTCATAAAAAAAATTGGCATAATTTTTAACTCCTGCAATTTTGTTCATTTCTAAATGCAGTTTAAAATGTTGGTTTACGTGATTTTATTTTTAGTAATACAATTGAAATCTAAGTTAAACACTGTTTACACCATAAAACTATCCCAGAATTTAGCTTAAATTAAGCTGTCACTTAGTAAGGCTAGCTTGTGTGGAACCAAATGTTGGTCATAAATGCATAAAAATATTTCTTGCAAGTTAAAAGAAAAAAATATCTGACCCAGTAAGCAGTTATGACAGCCCTTCTCAACTGATGCCTCCGTTAACGGTCAGCCAGTGCAGTGGCTAGTCCAGTGATTCACAGTCTTGGGGCAGCACCGGCAAACAATATCATTTACCCCAGCTCAAAGTTTTGCTGTCGGTGAGCTCTCAGCCTCAGACCCTGTATATTATATGTTAATAAGGGATGGCCCCTTCCACTCATCCAAAGAGGATCCCCTATTTAAAGACTCTACGCTGAGACTCTCAAGCGTTATGCGAAAGAGATCGAGATGAATCATGCTTTCTTACATGTGGGGAAAGATGATGCTGAAACCTCTCAAGTCAGTTGCTGCTATATTGTGATATATTGCACAGTAACTTCCCGTATTTAACTGAGTCAGATGCATCGCTAATATCAACAGCTCCCGTTCAGACACTCACCCTCTTAATGTATTATTGAGATTCGTGCTTTGTGATTTGTACAGTTAGTGACTGTAATAGGAACAGAACCGCTTCTGGGTTTTATGCACTCTGAACCCAGAGTTTTGGCTGTCCTGAGGTGACTTGCATTCAAACTGGTCCAAACGTTGAACAAAGAGAGTACGCATTGAAACTGCAGCATGCATGTGTGCGTTTGAAGGTATATGAGAAACTACAGTGTGCTTTTGTGTCACGCAAAAATGGAAAAAGAGAGAAAAGAAAGCTTTTGATCCAGGAGGAGACAGGAAAATAAAAATTTTAAAATAAACAAGTCCGCTTCAAAGCAGAGTAAATACCGTGGCAGACGACATATTAGTCTTTTCAAAAAATCGGCAACCTTAAAAATCTGCCAATACCACAGGCACACCACAGACGCTGATTAAATAGCTGTCTGTATTTATTGACTGACTGTGCTGTGCTAAAAATACTGGCATACTTTTTTTTTTGTTGCTGTTTGCTTGTTTTTGTCTTTAGCAGATGTTTAAGTGTGCATTTTTAATGCTCCATGCCAGTAGCTGAAATACACCATTTTTGCTTTTAGCCTTTTTTTTTTTAACTTAATTTAATCTTATTATATTTTATTTCTTTGAGTTCAAACACATTTCTGCAAAAGTTTTTTTTAACATTTGTTCACTGGAGCTTTGAATGTTGTACTTCAAAACAAATAACTAGAGTATGTGTGTGTGTGTATACATGTGTGTGTGTATATATATATATATATGTGTGTGTGTGTGTGTATATGTATGTATGTTTTCATTCATTTATTTATTCTGTCTTACAACATCAATAAAGTTCATCCCATCTTAAACACTTTTGACAGTTGCAAATTGTGATATCAAGTGCTGCCATTGACATTAACTCTGTATGTTTTGTAAGTTATATCAGTTTTCTACAATGTGTGTGAGGTTGTGCAGTGCAGGTTTGTGCAGAGAGTGTGTGTGTAAGATTGTTAGATTGTTTGTGCGGCGTGAGAGGCAGACAGCGCACTGAGTGGGTTTTAAAGCAGAACTCACAATCAGCCCAGAGCAGGTCTGCATGTGTGAAGTGTTCATGCAAGAGGAAGAGCCGCCTACGCCAACAGGATGATCTGTGACAGCAGCTGGGCATTTGAAACATAACACACACACACACACACACACACTCAAACATGCAACTTTTGCACACAAAACCATCACAAATAATAACATCAACCACATAAGAACCAAAACAACTCTAAACTTTGAACACATAAAATAACAATCGACACGTATACTGTGGCTAACACAAAATGTAAACAAAGCAAGAAAAAACAAAACCCTAATAAACATAAATAATAGTTTAAAAGACACTGTGCACAAAGAATCAAAAGATATAATCTACATTAAACAAGTAACTACAAAAACTTATGCAATTATGAAACGCTTAACCTGGATGATTCTAACACAGCAGTACTATAGTTAGTTCTTGTGAGATTTAGATTTTTTTAAACATCAACGAGCCATGTTTAAAGCACCACAAACATCAGTAGCGTTGACTTGTGACTCGAGCATTGCATTGCTTTAGATATTCACCCTACTGAGTGACTATTGTAGGTGATGCTCGTTATTTTGAATTACAGAGCGGATCAGCACAGTCCTTTATATGGTCTTCTGCCAGTTTTTTTTGTAACACTCTGCCATATTTCACATTTAAATAACTATTCTTTCATTTATATTTACCTTTGATGCTATTTTTAGCACTGAGTCCAGCTCTCTGGCTTTTGATGTCTAGTTAACAAATGACTGTATATGCTATTATATATGTCTACTGATGCTGGTTTAGAAAAAAAGAAAGAAGTTTAGCTGTAATCCTGTGTAAGGACATATTTGTTCACTTTGACTGAGCTCCCTTTTTGTTTTAGTTCTGTTGGAAAATATGGTCCATCCCAGTCAGTCATGGGTTGTCTGGATGAGGAATGCAGGGATTATTAACTCGCTTGCAGAGGCAGGTACCTGTATGAAAAATACCTGAGGCCCCCTTCAACAGTCAAACCTGTTTATCTGCTTATCCGCTTTTCCCTAAGATTTGTCATCGCCTTTTATAGATGTGGTTTTTTACTCCGATGACAAGCTTGGAAGTCTGGTGATTGAATGTTATGGTGAGTGTGTGTCAAGACCCACCATCTCTCTCAAGGAACAATATTTTCTTCCAAAAAGCGAGGATCCGTCTTTGCCCTAGTTCTCCCGCTCTGTTGCTCTTTTTTAATAGGATGAACTTTTTAGCATGGTTGTCGTTGGCTGATTTTGTCGTTGCAGGCACTTGCTGTAGTGTTGAGAACATCCACTGTCTAATAGAGCATGTGGAGAAACAGTCATATTTTCACAGCATTAATCAGAACCCTGCTGGGACGACCTGTTAAAAAGGTTCGGCTGCTTGCTTAACATCAGTCTCCCAGCCTGCTAAAGTAATTACTGCACTTGCTCTGTTGCCTTCTGGGATATAGAACATGTGTTTTAACAATGGATCAATTTTATACAAGCCTTTCATAGTGCGCTAAAAGCCCAAGCCAGCAGGCTAAAGGAAATGTAGTCAAAGGCCATTAAACTCATAATGAACTGATGCAACTGGCTGCATCAAAGCCTCGTTGTTAAAGAAGCAGAGGATGTTTTTTATAGCCTGTGTGTTGTGGTCATCTTGGTAAGACTGCTGCTGTCAGAATTTACATCCTCATGCTCACAGACACACAATCATGCATGTGTTTTTCCTAAATAGTCACATACCAAAGTTCTTTTTTTAATTTTGCATCCCCTTCAATCGTCTTTTATTTCCATTAGCCCTTGGATGTCTGAACTCGACTTTACACAGCTCAACACTGCCCTTCACTGTTTAGATACAGGAACTGATTTTTAAAATGTTCAATATGAACTTTCACATTAATGTTTGGGGTCAGCAATCATTTTTTAAAAATATATTAATACTTTGATTCAGCAAGGACACATTAAATTGATCAGAAGTGACAGTAAAGATATGTGTACTATTACGAAAGATTTCAAATAAATGCTGTTCTTCTGAACTTTCTATTCATCAAAGCATCCTGGGAAAATTTTTTTCCACAAAACTGAAGACTGTAGTCATGGCTGCTTAGAATTCAGCTTTGCCATAACAGGAATAAATTACAATTTAAAATCTATTAAAATATAATTTTTTTTACAGCATTATTACACAATGCTTTTTTTTTTTTTACAATATTATTTTAATTTTGCAATGTTACTGATTTTATGATATTTTTAATCAAATAAATGCAGGCTTAGTCGGCATGAGAGACTTCTTTCAAAGAACATTCAAAAATCTCACCAACCAAAGCCTTTTGAACAGTATACCAGTCCTTGAAAAAATATCTGCTCCTAAATAATCTAAATAATGCCTCTTTTTGTGTGTTTCAGTGAATGAGATCATAGGCAGAGACATGTCTCAGGCCCCAGAGGCTCATGGGGGCTCGCCAGCTGCACACAGTCAGTCCTAGCCCACACCAAGTCACGTCAGACTCTCAGACAATCTCCACAGGACTCCAGAGCCGGGTAACGAGATTCCACCCAAAGCCAGCGTCTGCCCCGATAGTCCAAAAACAACCCTTCCTAGCGTGGATCCAGAAGCAATTTGAGCGACCATTATTCCTTCTTCTAGATTCACAAACACGGCTGTGGCTGTAAAGAATAACAGCTGGGAGAGTTGGGGGTACTGTACGCATGCACACAAAATCAGGTGTACTGTACATATACACGAACACAGACGTGGTTGAGTGGCAGTAAACTTGGATTTGTGTTGTTCTCCTGGAAATAAAACCAATAATTCAGGGCTATCTGACAGCATGATGTATTATTATTTGTAGCTTGCAGATTCACCCCTGAGATTGGCTAGCTATGCATTCGAGCACCCTCATCCCTGACCGGAATATGCAGTACACAGCAGCGATTCTACAGTCACTTTAGTGGGATAGCCGAGGGGTGCTCCAAGCGTGATGCATCCCCACGTCACGCCTTCTTACCAGCGAAAACGCCGCCTTTTTCAGTACACATTCTCCCAGTGCTGCCCCCTAGTGGACGGGGCCTCGGGTCTGTAGTAACAATATGCAACATTCCACATGTCTAGTGACCTTTCTGAGCTGTAGATAATCTGTTTAATGATTGGCCCATTTCCTCTTCAGGTTGAACAAATGCCTTATGTAGTAGCCGTGATTGTGAACAGGCTTTCTGCTGAGAATTTATATTAGTTTTTTCTTTTCCATTTTTTTTTTGGTTTGTTTTTTGATGAGGAGAAAGAGGAGGACACGGTTGAATCCAGTGTGTGTATTTTATACTTAGAAAGTAGCTGAGCTTCATCTTTTGTTCTGGAGTGCTGGGAACTGTGTTGGTTCAATCTTACTTTGACAGTGCTGTGCTTTAAAAGTCAAGTGAATTGTTTGCAGACTCTAAAGATTACATACGTGTTTTGTATAGTTGCATGGGAAGGTCTGGAGATAATAAAGCTCATACATATATATTTTAGTGCTGGGCAACGATTAAACTTTTTAATCGAGATTAATCGCATTATGCACAAAATTCAATAATGCATTCAAAAGTAGTGTATTGTGCACTTTTTTTATTTAAAAGTACTGCTATATGAACAAAAGTGCAATAACATTTGGTTTGCAAACTCTTTAAACAAATAAGGTGCTTTTTTTTTACAGCAGTATTCCTTTTACATAGTAGCAGTTAAAATATTTCTTGTAAATCTCAACTTATAACATTAATGTAATCAAATTAAATATAAAACAAGCTATTTGCCACTGCCAGGGCATTAACCCTAAACCTTTTATAGAAAATATTTGACCACCTAATGTTTGATAATGTTTGACTCGCTCCATGCATTCGTTCGTTCGTCTAGCCTGCCCTGGCTCGGTTGGAATAGGTAGTCCAGTTATATATAGATCAGTGAGTGTGAGCGGAGCACTGAACTTCTGATACGTGCTGCATGATTGCGTGAACACTTCTGAGCGACACGAGTTATAGATCTGTAAAGCAATATATTGTGAGAGGGCCGTCTGTTACCGCGTACCAAATGACTCAAAATAATAAACCACAAAGTTAACAAAACAATGCACTCCACTGTGCTGAGCGAGAGCGCTTCTCTGCTGTCTTCACGTGCTATTGGAAACTTCCTATTTCCCACTTGTGAAGTCATGATTACACGTTGCATTCTTTTCTGTTAAAAATAAGTGAACAGTGGTTTGTGAATGTTGATGCTTAGCCTAAATAATTTCATCGGGAGCGTTAATGTGAGCGCTGCTGCAGTCTTAGGCCCTCCCCAAATGCTCTCATTGGTTGAGACGCGTGATGACACACATCCCAAGCCAGTACTGATCAACATCCCACCCCTCCTGTGACCCATTGTTTGTCTGTATGTTTATTCAGAGCCAGTGAGCAACGGACTTTCATAATTTAAAAAAAAAAACGCGTTAATGCGCCATAAAATAATTGTTGGCGTTAATCAATTAATGAGTTAACGCGATAACACGTTAACTTGCCCAGCCCTAATAATATATATATATATGGGCTTCATGTGCATTGAACTCAAGACATACAACGTTGACTATGCTGAAACTACGCGTTAATGCGCCATAAAATAATTGTTGGCGTTAATCAATTAATGAGTTAACGCGATAACACGTTAACTTGCCCAGCCCTAATAATATATATATATATATATATGGGCTTCATGTGCATTGAACTCAAGACATACAACGTTGACTATGCTGAAACTCGCTTTGTGCCTTTGATTAGAGAAACAATTATGCATAAACAATTGCATTAGACAATTAAAAAATAAAACATTGCTGGGTTGATGTCAGGGAAACCATATTAAATTGGTTGGGGTTTTTTTTTTTTTTTTTTGCCCAAAAAAGGTTGCAACCTGACAATCAACAAGTAGACTATCTGTTACTATAGAGTGACTTGAAAGCCACTCTCGGTTTGTATCCCCACTGCATCCTGGGGCAAAACCCCTCAGCCCATCTTAGACAATTATAGTGCTCATTTTTGCCCACAATTTGCTCTCTGTGTTGACAAAAACGGTGCAGTGGGCAGGTTTGCTCTGTACACTGTTAGAGCAGATGTCTTACGACGCAAACAAATCTATGAGTTTCTATTGGCTCCTTGCCTTAAATTTTAATCTGGAAAATTGATTGTTTTCTTACAACAGTTTTTCTCCTCTGTGAAAACTGGCACAATTCAATTGAGACATTGTTTTTTCTATTGTTTTTCAGTCTTTGAGACATGTTGAGGCTGTAACCATGACTGTTAATTATGTTTGAAATAGACAACAACAAAAAATCTGCTATGCACTATAAACCTGCCTTCTGCCTTTAAGAAAATACAAAAAAAACAAAAAAACAAGACAAAACCTTGATGCCTCTAGATTAGATGCTGTAGAGATGCTTCTTCGTAGGGTAGTATGCCACACAAAAGGTGCGTGTGTCAAGATGTGTCTGTTCATGCATAGAGCAAGCGTCTTAACGGTTTTGTGCATATGTGCTTACGTCAGTTTGTATCCAATGAATTGTAGATATTTGTTTTGTATCTTTTAAAAACCTCTTAGAATTTGAATGGTACAAAAGCACACTGATACATTAGTCTATGCAAGGACAGACAATACGATGGTGTGACATTTTCAAATATACAAATAGCAGGTGTGTTTGTTACTCTTGCATCTATACAGTAAGTATATATATTTTGTATGTAAACCCTTACATATAGTGACAGGTGTTTTCAATGCCACTTTTGACTGTTTAATTTAAACTATCAAATATATGGTAGGAAAGCCTTAACTTGTGTTAAAATGCAATTTTAGAGAATGTGTGTCATAAGGTTTGGGTTTGATTTAGGTTTAGTGTTTTTTGAGAATCAAGAAAAAAATACAAGCAAACAAACAAAAAAAATAAAGATGGGGGAGTTCTGGGATGAAGCAGGGTCCCTAGATAAGCACCTATTTTCATTATCTAGAAACCAAAGATCGAACAATGTGTTCCCATTTTACATACAGATGACGACGCAAACACCAGAACTCTATTTTTGATACTTTGAAATGGATGTCATTCCTAAAGTTTGGGTAGCTTGGATGGTTTGTAAAATAAAAGTACAGGTTCAGTTGATGTTTACGGAGCCTTGTATTGTCGTTTCATGTACATTTTGTATTTAACATTTTGTAATTTTTAAGACTGCAGTGCTTTTTGAAATTATTCAAAGGGAACACCGTGCGGCATAGGCTCTTCTGAGGTAGTGTATCAATAAAAAGAATAAATGCCCAAATGTCTCTCTTTGTGTCGTGTTCTGGATTATGATATGCATCAAGAATGAAATGTTTAGTGAATGGACTAAAATGTACATCGCTGTACCTTATCCCTGGTTCATATTAGTACCTTGAAGTTACATACTGTAATAGTTCTTTAAAAGTATGTTATTACCTCAAGTAACTACTGATGGGAAAGAGTTTTCTATAATGACTATTATTCCAGGGATGATTAAATTATGAATTATTGACTTGATTTAACATTATAAAGGAACAATTATAGTTTAGTGACTGCCAAATCACGTATTACAGGTCTTTCTGGGTAAAAATGAATACTTCATAGAACATGAATAACTAGGGGTGGGCAATATGATCAAAATGATGATACGAGAAATTTTATTTCACAGTAACAATATATATAACAAAATAGATATTTTTGCTTTAAATAAGGTCTTTATTATATACATTTTTGATACCATAGAAATTTCATAATTGTCACCAGCGTGACAACTAAAAAAAAAAACTAAAGTAACCAGTCAGCAATTAAATAAGAAACTAATTACAAGCAACAGTACAAAACAATAAAGTAACTCGATAAGAAATGCTACACGCATTGTATAATAAAATGTATAACTACATATTCCTCACTGTGTAAATTATATATTTTTTCTTATTAAAGTTACAAACGTGATTTAATCAAGAGCAGTGAGAGACTTCCTCTCGTTTGCTGTCTGATTAACATGAATGACAGACAGCAGGAATATTAGACTGCTGTCACTTTAAGAGCTGCCGGGATCCAATATACTGTTACACGTGTTTTCTTTTTTTAGCTGTTTGCTTTCACTTAAGGCCGAAATTAATTAACTTTTTTAAAGTAATTTGACACAAGTGTGTGTATATTTAACCGTTCAAGGCCTATAAAGTGGCAAAAATAACGGTTAGGTGCTCTATAAGCAGGGTCTTCACATGTGCGTCCCTCTATGACAGCACTCTGAAACAGTCTCTCAGACAGCACGCGCATTTAGCTAAATGAGTTCTCTTTCACTGCCGATTGCATTTAAATGGCTTAAAATCACTTATTTAACTTAATCACTTGCTCTTTGTGACCACAGCGACGTCACGTGAGCATGTAACCTTGATAGAGACGATAGTCCAAAATCTCCACCGGGTGACAAATTTCTAACGTTTCCGGTTAATCGTGCTTACTAGCATACCGCCCACACCTATGAATAACATTTCATAAACATTACAGTTGGATAAAGTCATCAGTTTTCTCATTTGGCCATTGTTCTATAAAAGTTTGACATTTGAGGCCTCCTAAACGGTTTGAAATATACTCTACGTATTTACTTAATTAGCTGAGGGCACTGACTAGTACAAAGGTTAAGCAAAATTCTGAAAAACAACTTCAGTTCTGCTTCTGGTAATGATGAATTTGAAAGTGAACTGGCCACATCCCAGAGGATGCTTGAACTGATGGAGTTCAGTTTAAAGGTCCCAAGTTTTCAACTTGGTTCCTGTTGTTCGACTTTGGTTTAAGTTAACCCACAACGAAACAATGAGTGTTCGTGTTTGTTTATTTATATATATATATATATAGAGAGAGAGAGAGAGAGAGATGTCCATCACTCATTGGAGGTTGAACAAATTGATTTCTCTAAATCAGTGGTTCTCACCCAGGGTCAAATAGGGGACCTCTAGATGCATATTTAAAACCAAATAACATTAAAATAACCCAAACCTACCTTTTTAGACATCTCAGAGAACCTGGATATTTTATGTAGTTTAGTCTAATTTTAAAAGTGTCATTTCTAACACTGTAAAACCTGCAAACTAAAATCCACATGCATTATTTAATGAGCAGAAATCATTAAGTGTAAAAAAAAAAATCTTTATCCAGTAAATGATGAAAAATGGGGAAAGTCACAAAATTGTAGTGGACAACTGGTTACCTTGGAGTCAAGAAGGTTGAGGACCACTGCTCTTAAATTTCCATAACACAAACCTGGTCCAAAAAAGCTCATGTCTACTTTGACAATGTCAGAGAAATATCAATTTATTTGTTGCATCTAAGAGTCACATTTTATACACTCATACATAAACATTTCAGAGGGGAAAAAAAGGCCCCTTCTTTCACTAGAGAGGTGTGACATTTTATTCAGCCTTGTATTGCACTCCAGGTAATGTAGTCATGATTCAAGCAGCCTGGTAGCAGTAGAAAAGAACATGCGTAGACCGCATTTCCAAAACATTAT